ACATGCTGGTGCTGGCATCGCCCATGGTTGCCATCCTCGTCGCGACGCTGAGCCAGAGGTCCTGCGAATCGGCACTGGACCGCCTCCTGCCCATGGCGATGGCCCACGTCCACAACCCGCTGTGCTTCATGGCGCTGGGCCTCTTCCTCGGCTTGTCGCTGGCGCTCCTGATCCTGTCCTGCATGCTGCTGCCGCCAGTGGCTCCCGTCCACGTGACGCTGGTGATGCACATGGCGATGACCCACGTCCACAACCCGCTGTGCGGCATGCCGCTGGGCCTCTTCCTCGGCTTGCCACAGGTGCTCCTGACCCTTCTCTGCATGCCGCTGTCGCTGGTGGCGCCCGTCTTCGTGATGAATCTGTCCTGCATGCCGCTGCTGCTGGCGGCGCCCGTACTCGTGTTGGTGGCGGTGCTCTCGCTGCTCTCCGTCCCCTTGTCCGCGAATGGCATCGGGTCGCACGGCGTAAGACGCTACTCCAGAACAGGCTCTTCATCCGCTGCTTCGACGCGTGGTTCGTCCTCGTGTTCGAGTCCTCCTTGTCCTCGGAGAGCGACCCGCCAGACGAGGTTTACGCTGAGCATGATGATGCAGATGCTGGTGGCGGTCAAGTGCTCGACGTCGCTGCCGCGTATGGCGAACAGTCTGCTCTCGAAGTACATCCTGGTGCCGACCACGATGGTGCTGCCGCTGGAGGCGAACAAGTGCACGTCGACGCTTCCTTGTGTTGTGCACATCCTGCTCTCGAAGTGTATCCTGATGCCCTTCCGAGTGAACGTGAACGTTTGCTCGAAGGCGTCCAAGATGCTGCCGCTGGTGTGGATAGTGCTGCTCCTGCTGGCCCTCGGCGAGTGCTCGATGGCGGTTCCGATGCCTGGGCTGGCCCTGGGGCGCCGCACTTTCGTCGCTCCGATCTGCTCCAACTCAGATGCTGCAGTCTGGCTCTCGCTGGTCTGGTCGATGAACTTGTGCGCCGTGCCGTCGCGCTTCATGACGATGCTCGTGGTGTTCCGCTGCGTGGAGTGGCGTCCGCAGCCCATCATGCAGCTCGCGACGTCCAACCACATGGAGCTGTCGACCACGGGTGGGGTATCTGCTGGGACTACGAGCGCCGACGCTGGGATTGATTGGCTGGCCCTGCCGCTTATGCTCACCCCGACGATCACGTCCTGCCTGATGCTGCCGCTGGTGGCGCACAACCCCTTCCCGCTGAACGAATCCCGCATCACGCTGCCGTTGGTGGCGAACGTCTCCGTCCTGAAGATCCCGTCCTGTACGATGCTGTTACTGGTGGCGACGGATTGGCTGACGCAGCCCATCCTGCACATCCCGAAGAAGCTCTGCATGCTGATGCACGCGCCGTTCCGCCGCTTAGCGTGGCTGCCGCTGCGCATGAGGCCCCTGAGGCCACCCGCCAATGTAGCCCTGAGCCCGCCGTCTGGCTCACTCCACCCCGCTCTTCCCGTCTTGGTGCCCTTCGCTTCTCTCGTCTCCTGCTCGTCCTCCCACCGCGTCGCTCCTGCCACCCATGCCTGCTTTTCCGGGTTTCCCGAGTGTTGACATCAAAGTACGCCCGAATGCTGCGGCCAGCGCAGCCACATATTACAGTGTAGCAGAGTTTTAGGCGTTGCAGTGGGTGGGAGCGAGCGGGATCATCATCTGCCCTCGTCTCGCTTCTTGTCCGCTTGCCCTGGTTTTTCTCGTTCAAACTACTTGAGCTCCTCCTCCTCCTCCTCCTCCTCCTCCTCCTCCTCTTCCTCCTCCTCCTCCTCCTCCTCCTCCTCCTCCCCCTCCTCCTCTTCCTCCTCCTCCTCCTCCTCATCGGACCACCTACGGCCCCGGGGGAAACCGTGCGCAGGGTCGGAGGTGGAAGGAGGAAAGCGATGGAGGGAGGGAGGGGGGGAGGGGGGAGGAAAGGAAGAGCGATGGGGGGCGAGAAGGAGCAGGGAGGGAAGGTTGGAGGGGGCAGAGCTGCCGAGGGCTGCCCCCCCCCCGGGGCGCCCGGGTGCCATGCCGCCCGCGAGCCGGGAATAGCTTGCGCGCTGGCCCCTGGCCACGGGGAGGCCGGCACGCGGGCGGCGCAGCAAAGGCCGCAGGCGACCTCTGAGAACAGCCCCCGGCCGCGTGGCCCAGCAGGGGGGGACGCCTGGCCCGCGGGCATGGGGCCGCCTCAAGAGCGCGAGTGAAGGAAGGGAGGGGAACAGAGGTGGAGGGTATCTCCGACCCGTCCTCCTCCTCCTCCTCCTCTTCCTCCTCCTCCTCCTCCTCCTACTCCTCCATTCCTTCTCCTTATAGATAATTCCTCCCTGTCGCACCCCGAGGCCAGTTTTTAGGGCGGGCCGGGCGTTTCGCCTGAGATTTCCTCACCACTCATGACCCTGAAGCTTAAAAAGTGAGGGCCGTTTCACAGATGGAGGGCGGGCCGATTTCAAAATGTGGCTCTCGCGTTAGCGCCGCGCTCATTCGTTTTCGGAGTTTGCAAGAGTTTCACGGATTGAGGGCGGGAGGTTTTCAAACAGTGACTCTCGCCTGAGTGCCGCGCACATGTGCTTTTCAAAATTTGCAAGAGTCTCACGGATTGAGGGTGGGTGGTTTTCAACATGTGGCTCTCGCCTGAACGCCGAGCACATTCGTTGTAAACATTTGCAAGAGTTTCGCGGATTGAGGGCGGGTGGTTTTCAACATGTGGCTCTCGCCTGCGCGCCGCGCGAATTCGTTTTTAGAATTTGCAGGAGCTTCACGGATTGAGGGCGAGTGGTTTTCAAAATGTGGCTCTCGCTTTAGCGCCGCGCACATCCGTTTTTTAACATTTGCAAGAGTTCCACGGATTGAGGGCGGGTGGTTTTCAAAATGTGGCTCTCGCTTGAGCGCCGCGCGCATTCGTTTTAACATTTGCAAGAGTTTCACGGATTCCCATGATCAGCGTACCAGAAATGGTGTTTCGGAATGATTCAGGATTATGCGGGCGCAACAGTTATGTTGATTCGCTGTGTTGAACTCCCAAAAACGGCTATCTGGCACGACCCCGGATCGTCAAGACGCAGCAGTCAGGTTGGTACGTGGCGTTGAAATTCTGAGAACAATGTGTTAGCACGCTTCAGGATATTCCAACGGTTGTCTTCCAGCGCGGCAGTTCCCTCAATGGAAATGAACCGTTGTAGGGGCCAGTGAAGAGGGAGCCTGGAAGGAGGAATAATTCCAACATCGTTGATGACTCTTGTGTTTCCAGTGGTCCTCCTCCTCCTCCTCCTCCTCCTCCTCCTCCTCCTCCTCCCTCTCCTCCTCCTCCTCCTCCTCCTCCCCCTCCCTCCTCCTCCTCCTCCTCCCTCCTCCTCCTCCTCCTCCTCCTCCTCCGCCTCCTCCTCCTCCTCCTCCTCCTCCTCCTCCTCCTCTCCTCCCCCTCCTCGCCCTCCCCTCCTCGGGACGCCTACGGCCCCAGGGGAAACCGTCCAGGACAGAGGGGGGGAGGCTGGTAGCGGTGGGAGGGGCGAGAATGCGTGCCTGTGGGCCGCGCGGCCGTCGCCCAGGTTGCCGGCAGGGCGGAAAGCAAGCGTGCCGCCATTCTCGCCGTTCCCCTGCCTTCTTCGCAGCGCAGTGCGCATGGCGGTTGTTCCCGCACGCTATGGCGAGCGTTGGTCTTCGAGCGGGGACAAATCTGATGGCGTCCGTCTCCCTGCATCCTGCATCGACAGACTGCACGCTCATCCACCACTCGTGCCTGTTTGAGACTTGCGACCTGTGGCGAACGCTGGGCCATCAGGTGCAACATCTGCGAGTCTGATGTTTTATGAAATACAGGCCTCGGATCAAAAATAGCGAACACTCATGCCACATTCATCTGTGAACGCCTCCCCCTCCCCCCAATGTTCAAAGTTGGCGGTGGGTCTGATGAGTTGCACCTCGACCGCAGTCTCCCCCGCGCGTGCCAACTTTGAGTTTGGGGGGCAGGGGGGGTGTTCATTAATTGTTTCCCTCTATCGTAAGTCGCATCCCTGTGGTTCCAGCAACGAGTGACGCTTGCAGGCGTAGCAGCTCCATTGCAGAATTTGCCCAGTTGGCCAACATTGAAACATTGCAGACGGATGGGTGCATGTTGACAACAACGTCGCACGGCTATGAGACTTCTCGCTTGCTATCCGCTTCGGCCAACTGCATTCGGCACCGCCACAGCCTTGACTCAGCTTGAGAAGTCGCTTTCAACAAGGAGGTATCTGCAGCTGCTACGTGCCACTGCCACTCGAAAGCATTTTGTGTTGCTCACCCAGGTAACTTTACATTATTTGTCATTCGGGAGCACTAAGCCGATTGGAATGAAGCGTGCCTCTTGCGAGAGCTGGGTGCCTGTATTCGCGGGGTTCCACCGGCCTCGTCCAGAGCCCGTCTGGAAGGCACCTGAGAACCCCAGGTTGCCTTCGCCGTTTCAGGGCTCATTTGGGAGTCGTCTTGAACGGCTCAAGAGGTATAGTAACCGAACGAAATAGTACCTAATAGATATTTTGTACCCTGATATGTCTTCCCACTATCGAGCCACCCGCAGGTTATCTTTAGAACGTCCGGAAACATTTTGGATACAGTTTGGGAGCCTTATGGAACTTGGGCCACGCGGGGGAACCCAAATCAGTCACAGGACAAATGGGTGACCGTTTGAGGGGGCGCCTTGGGTACGTTTTCAGGCGCTGTTGTGATCTTATTGGGCTGGTTTGGAGGCCAGTTCAGGGCCCTTCTTGTTCATGTGTTCAAGCGTTTGGTTGTTGCCCTTGCGGGGCGCTTCAGAAGCCCATCTGGGACGATCTTGGACCGTTTCGTGCCCTTATCTTATCTTCTTCCTCCTCCTTCTTCTCCTTCTCCTTCTCCTTCTCCTCTTTAGTCTTCTTCCTGATCATCATTGTTCTCCCTCCTGGGGTCCGCAGCCAAGGTACCTTAAGTGTTTCGGTTTGTCATCACGAGGCAACAAACTACCATACTGAAGGCGCCCACATCGTCTTGACTATATCCGAGGGGATGCTCAAGGGTCAGATGGCGAAAGGTGGGCGAGTTGATCCAGCAGCGGGACAGGCGAATGGAAAGGGCAGGGTGAATGGCAAGGGAGCTGGCAACGGAAAGAAAGGCTACGGCCCGGAGCGGCGCCATGACCATGGAAAGGGCAAAGGTGTGGGGCAGCGCGCTGGCTGGGCGAGAGACGCAGCTGCCTTCCTCAGTGAAATTGTGGCGGAGGAGGACCCCAAGGTACAAGTGCTGGGGCTGATCGAGCGCGCACCTGTCATCATCGAGAAGATTGACTCGCTCAGCTTCGTGGACCTCGAGCGCCTCGTGGAGGCGCTTTGGGGCTGCCGCAGGGCCCTGCGCCGTGACAGGCTCCAGGCGGCCCTGACCAAGCTCGCGCCCTCGGTCCTCCCGGTCCTCTCGCGGAGCTTCGTGGTCCAGGTGCAGCGCCCCGACCTCCTCCAGCACCTGCTGGAGGTGTTGGTTGCCCTCGTGGAGGCCGCCCCGTCGGTGGCGATGTTCCTCGAGGCTCCTCGCGTCTGTGCGGCGGTGGAGGAGGCGCTCTCCAGGTTCGACTGCCCGGAGTGCCGGCAGCTCTGGGGGGAGCTGCAGGTGATGGCCAGCCAGGATGTGGCCACCCTCCGCAGCGTGGTGCAGCGCCGTGCGGCGGAGCAGGCCTCCGCCCGCGACGAAGCTGCGTTTCCTGATCCGGAGGCCGTCGGCATCCTGCCCACCATGGAGGAGCTGCTGGAGGGCAGCCGACGCCTGCCAATCAATCATGTTGGTGCGTGGCAGGAGGACGACCTGGAGAGGTACCGGCGTACCCACTACCTCCTCTATCGCGAGGAGCTCCTGGGCCCCCTCCGAGAGGCAGTGGCCTGCTTCCTCGATTCGGAGAATGTGGAGCTGCCCGCTGCCATGGCGCGCACGCTGGTGCTGCGTCGCGACGGCGCTTTCAACTTCTTCGCGTACCCCGACACGCGCACGAAGGGCATCGAGGTGTCGAAGTCCAACCAGCCGATGGTGATGCTGAGCTTCAGCACGGGCAGGAGGCGCGTGGACTTCAGTATGGGCAGCCACCTGATCTACGGCAGCCTCGTGGTTCTCTTCGAGGTGGACAACCGGAAGCGGCCCAAGCCAGATTCGGCTGTGTTCGCGACAGTGGAGGAGTTCGATTCACTGGCTTACGCCGCACGTCCAACCTCTTGAGAGCATGGATGCCATTCTTCCGGTGGCAGTTGTCGTAGAAGCGTGTTGGCACCATGCGTTCATCCGGGAAGGTCCACCACACCGTATTCAAAATTGGCCCTGTTCGGAAATTTTGGAACCTATTCGGAGCCGTTTGTGGACTTCTTTTGGCCTCTTGGAGGCTTCTTGGGCGCTGCTGGGGCTTTGATGCGGTCCTGCTGGCGGTTGCGGGCGCCCTCTTGGGCCGCAAGGCTCGAAGTGCGGCTTCGAGGTCCCCCTCGTGGGCCCCTCTTGGGGCTCTCTCGGGGTCCTCTTAGGCTGTTTTGGGCGCCTCTGGGGCCATCTTGGGGCTTTCTTGGGCCGCCTTGGGGCCCTCTGGGAGCCTTGGTGGCCATCCTTGGGCGGTATTGCGGGCCTCGGGCGGCTTCGTGCAGGCTGTGAAGACCGAAATGGCGGCCTCGCGAAAATGCACAGGGAATGACGATTTGGGATGACTGGGGCCCTCTCGACAATCCTCTTGGAGCGCTTTCGGGGCGTCTTGGGGGCCTCTCGGGGCGTCTGGACGCCGTCTTGGGACGTGCTGGGGTCATCTGACGCGACGCGGAGGCCATCTTAGACCGTCTTGGAGTGGCTGGGGGCATTATAAGGCCATCGGAGGCCGTCCGGCAGCAGTTTGGAAGCAGATGAGACCGCCGGTGCGTTTCCCCCCCCGTTCCAAATTGGCCAGACAGGTCGAAAGGGCTCTGGGGAGGGGCAGCAGTCTCGCACGACGAGAAGGCCCCACGGGGTCGGCGAGTTTGCGGACTGCTGCGCGCGAGCACACTGTTGGAGTATCTGTGCTTGACGTTTCTCGGGAGAAGTTCAGCATCGACAAGACCTACGTGATGGTGGAGAGCCCTGCGTATCCAGCCGCCTGTGGCAAGCCCCGCCGCCGTGCCAGCGCAGCAGCGCAGCAGGGACGGGGAGGCGTTTCAGACCCGCTCCAGTTCAGCACGCACCTTGTCTGAAGAGGCGCGGCCCTCGTCGTCCCCTCTTCGCTTTAAGCCTCCTTCTGCTCCGCCGCCTCTTCCTCCTCCCTGTTGCTTTCTCTTCGTCCTCCTTGATGTCGGGGGTTCCTTGGGGGCTTCTTTGGGACTCCTTGGGGCATCTCGGGGCTCTCTTGGGGACCTTTGGGGAGCTGCTGGAGATTCTTTCGGGCGCCCCAGGGCCGTCGTGGGCGGAACGATTCGCTAGAACTCTCCCGAAGCAGGACGGTGGAGCCATCTCGGGGGCGATCTGTCGGATCGTGATGTAGCACTGCAGTTCGGAGACTGGGGGTGAGACCGACGTTGTCCCCATGGATGTCCAGACGGTTGTCTTACTGTTTGTCCCGATGGTTGTCCCGACGGTTGTCTTGCTGGTTGTCCCGATGGTTGTCCCGACGGTTGTCTTGCTGGTTGTCCCGATGGTTGTCCCGATGGTTCGCCCGTGGTTGATGGTTGTCCCATTGGTGCCCCGTGGTTGTCCCCTTATTGCTGTAGTTGTCTCGTGGTTGTCTTGTGATTGTTCCATGACTGTCCCATATTGTCCCTACGTCGTCCCGTGGTGGCCCAGTGGTTGGCCACCTGATGGATCCAATGGTTGTCCCGATGGTTGTCCCGATAGTTGTCCCCCTGGTTGGCCCGATGGTTGGTTGTCCCGATGTTTGTCCGGATGGTTGTCCCAAGGGTTGTCCCGATGGTTGTCCCGATGGTTCTCCCGATGATTGTTCCGATGGTTGTCCCGACAGTCGTCTTGCTGATTGTCCTGATTGTTCACCCGAGGTTTATGGTTGTCCCCTGAGTGTTGCGTGGTTGTCCCGTGCTTGTCCCGTGGTTGTCTCGTGTTTGTCTCGTGCTTGTTTTGCGGTTGTTCGGTGGTTGTCCCGACGTTGTCCTGTGGCTGTCTAGTGTTTGTCCACATGGTTGATCCAATGGTTGTCCCCATGGTTGTTCCGATGGTTGTCCCGAAGGTTGTCCTGATGGTTGTCTTGATGGTTGTCCCGATGGTTGTCCCGATGATTGTCCAAATGATTGTCCCGATGGTTGTCCCGATATGGTTGTCCCGATGGTTGTCCCGATGGTTGTTCAGATGTTTGTCCCGATGATTGTCCTGACGGTTGTCTTGCTGGTTGTCCTCGTGGTTGTCCCGATGGTTCACCCGTAGTTGATGGTTGTTCCATGGGTCTCCGTGGATGTCCAGTGCTTGTCCAGTGGTTGTCTCTTGGTTGTCTCGTGGTTGTCTTGTGGTTGCTCAGTGGTTGTCTCGACGTTCTCTCGTGGTTGCCCAGTGGCAGTCCACAAGTTTGTCCACATGATTGATCCAATGGTTGTTCCGATGGTTGCCCCAATGGTTGGCGCGATGGTTGTCCCGATGATCGTCCGCATGGTTTTCTTGCTGGATGTCCCGATGGTTCGCCTGTGGTCAATGGTTGTCCCATGGTTGTCCCATTGGTACATATCCCGACGGTTGTCCCGATGGTTGTCCAGATGGTTGTCCGGATAGTTGTCTCGATGGTTGTCCCGATGGTTGTCTCGATATGGTTGTCCCGATGGTTGTCCCAAGGGTTTTCCCGATGGTCGTTCCGATGGTTGTCTCGATGGTTGCCCCGATAGTTGTCCAGACCGCGGTCTTGCTGGTTGTCGCGATGTCTGTCTTGATTGTTCGCCCGTGGTTGATGGTTTTCCGAGGGGCGTCCCGTGCTTGTCCCGTGGTCGTCCCGTGGTGGTCCCGTGGTTGTCTCGTGGTCGTTTTGTGGTTGTTCGGTGGTTGTCCCGATGTTGTCCAATAGTTGTCCAGATGGTTGTCCTCAGGGTTGTCCCGATGGGTATCCCGATGGTTGTCGCGATGGTTCTCCCGACGGTTGTCCCAAGGTTTATCCTGATGGGTACTCCTATGTTTGTCCCGACGATTGTCCCGATGGTTGTCCCGATGGTTGCCCCTATGGATGTCTCAAGGGTTGTCCAGATGGTTGTCCGATGGTTGTCCCGATGGTTGTCCCGATGGTTGTCCCGATGGTTGTCCCGATCGTTGTCCCACCGGTTGTCTCGACGGTTGTCTTGCTGGTTGCCCCGATGGTTGTCCTGTGCTTGTCCCGTGGTTGTCTCTTGGTTGTCTCGTGGTTCTCTTGCGGTCTTTTGTGAAAGGATCCCAACCTCTCTCCTCCCGTGCTGTGCCCGCTGCCCCTATCGGCCCACAGGTATAGGCATACGTACACTGACTGTTGGACAGTGAAGAGGGGTAAACCTTTTCATCGCCCATCATTCATCGTTGCCGCTCCGAGGCTTTGCCTCCTCCCGGCCTCGTTCTGCGGCTGCGCCCCCCTTTCCCTCCCCCATCTCTGTCTAACTCAAGCTTCGCGCGGCCCGCTTAGCTTCGACCGGAAGAGGTGCGCTCTCGACCCGCGAATCAAGCAATCATGCATCGTTGCCGCCTTTGCCGGCGGATTTTCGGGAGGGGATCGGCCCTTCGGTCAACCCTCCCCTCGCACAGGTCATCCGCCTCTTCTTCTCGAGCCCCTCGCGCGTGACGGCCCTCGCGCGGCGGGGCGCCAGCTCTGCCCTGACGGCGACCGCCTCGCCTCGTGCGGGAGCGTCGCCTGCTGCGGCGGAGGCTCGTGGCTCCCCTGCCCCGCGAGCTCTCGCACGCGGTCTTGACGAGATTGGATCCTGGCAGGGCTAACGTTGCTGTCGTGCCCATGTCTCCAGGCAATTCCGACATGCCCGAGGACTGGATGGATCTGAACCCTCCCCCGCGCGCCGCCCCGAGAATAGGAAACGTAGATCATGGGGCCTCCGACCCCTTCGCTCCGCGCGCGCGGGGGAGAAGCCGTTGCAGGCGGCAGCTTCGTTGGGCAGGGTGCTCACCGCCTGCGGGGTGCATCTGCTGCAAGCGCTGGCTCCCGTGGGCCCGGCAACACCCAGGGCGTACATGTCCGAGGAGCCCTTGACCTCGCCGCTCACAGCTTGCGGGGGGGGGGGGGCACTTGCAAGCGTCCCGCCAACGGGTGGCAGCGCACCTGCGGTATTCTTTGTCTCCACAGGTGTCCCGGGCACGTTCGGTCCTCGTGGTTCCCTCGGGTGGACGCGCGACGCTTCCGCTCCAAAGCGTGTGGATTGCCCGCCTCGCGTTGTTGAGCAGGTCCGTGCAGTCGAGTCTCGGCGCGTGGTTTCCGAGCGTAGCCTTGGCCGCACTCGCGCTACCTCCGTTTTGCGACGCCGTCCGTCCAGCCTCGAGTTTCCCCGCCGTGGTCCGCGACGAATTGATCGTGCGATCTGGCCGCGCAGGGCGTTCACAGCCGCAGCCCCTCCCAGAGAGGCTGCGCGACGGGCGCCCTTGCGCCCCTGTCAAGTGCGCCGCAACAGCGTGTGGCAAAGCCGAGAGACCAGGTTGAAACATCTGTTGCGCAACCGATCTCCGCCGCGCAGAGATCCATCGCCGCCGCCGCCGCTTGTGATGCGGACGTTGTTCGGTCGGACCTGATCAAAAGACTCTTAGATATCGACGAGACTGTCCAACTTGACCGCAAGGTCGCTGCTCAGGTGATCGCCCGAGTCGAAGAGCCCCAATTTCTGCAAGGCCAGGATTGCGTCGACATTGCCTCTGTTAAGTCCGACCCCCAGAACTTCGAGGCCAACCTGCTCGTGGTCAGATATCATAACGACTCAAGGGCTCGACTTTTTATCGCGGGGAGGCACGGGCGCTCGCGCTGGCCGCGCCAGGCACCGCAGTCGCCGCCATCCACGGACGCCTACAAAATCTTTGAAACATGACTACATCCCAGACAGCCGCGCTACGCTCCGAGACCCGCGACGTCCATCTGGACCTCCGCGACGAGCTTTGCCTCGCCGCGAAGGCGGTCAGCCAGCGCGTCAACAAACCCCGCATTGCGACAATCCATGAGTTATTTAATCGCTTCGCTCATGCCGCCGGCCCTGGAGCCCTCTTTAGGGCCTCTTGGGGGCCTCTTGGGGACCTCTTGGGAGTCTCTTGGGGCTCCTTGGCGGCGTTTTGGAGGCCCCCAGGGCCTCTTGGGGGGCTCTTGGGGGTAGTCGATTGCGGCTCCCCCCTCGGAGGCCACGATCCTCGTGAGGGGTGTCGAAAAATACCCTCCCCTGGAGTGGTCTGGTGGCTTCTCCCGGGCTTCTCTCGGGACCTTGCCGGGGTACTTTTCGTCCGGGGGCCCCCAGGGGCCGCTCCGCGCGCGCGAACTAGAAATATTGTTGACAAGTTACCGGAGATCTTAGCACGCCTCTGGCCCGTTGGGCCGGCGAATTTGCCAGAGTCGCCGGCGTCGTCGTACTCGAACGCACCGTGAGTGGGCTACATGTTCTAAGGGCCCAAACCGGCCAGCTGGGCACCGCTTCGGTCGGCAACCGCGCGCCCTTGGTATCAGAGGTTTAGACCTTGTGAGCGACGGTGGTCCACGTGCGACGGTAGCTTCACGAAGCCCAATCAGAGGGGGAGAGAGAGAGAGAGAGAGGGAGGGAGGAAAATAGAGGAGATAGAGAGATAGAGAGAGAGAGAGCCAGATGCCTTGACGGCGCGGGAATCTGAGGTTCAGACCTCCGTCGACGCAATTTCTGGTTTTTGGCGGCCCACAGACTACCGCGTCCGATTTTCCTTTTCATTCTGAACGACGGCACTCTCGCATGAGTAAGCGAGCCGCAGATTTACGCGGAAGTCGAGGGGCTCTCGGGGCGCGTGGTCCATCGATAACGACTTGTTCTCGCGCAAATAGCAGACGCGTCGCAGCGCCACCCGCAGCGACCGCGACATGGCCAGATTACGCAGGCCAGGCGGAGCCCGTCTCCAGCCCGTACATCTCGCGCTGCCCGCGCCGCTGCACTGCCGCCGCAGCAGATGAGCCGACTGCGGGCGTCGCGCGCGAGATTGCAAGCTGCCGCGCACATTCGCCTGCTGTCCTCGGCTCCACAGCTTCCGCGAGGCCTCTGGGAGACCCGCCGTCGCCCGCAGGTGGAATTGCGCCGCCGAGCATCCTGGCGTGCGCACCTGGGATTCTTGAGTGACGGCGGTGGCTTCGAGAGCCTAGACTGCAAGCCGGCGTTGCACTCGCGGAGACTCTCTCCGCCAAGTTGCGCTGGGACGTCGAGCTCCTGGGAAATGCGGGGCACCGACAGGAGCGCGTGCTCAGAGGGCGCCAACTCTACTGGCTCATTATACGCCCCTACCGCGTTGAGGACGCCGATGGTACGATTCGCGAATTCGAGCGTATCAACGCGCCGAGCATGTGTGGCGATGGCCTCGAGGAGTTCGCGTCGAGCTCCGTGGTGCACCTTCCCGTAGTATGCCGGAGTCATCGCTTCGTGCCCTGATCCGCCGACGTCCATGGATGCGCCAAAACATGACGCTCTTTTACGGGGCACCCAAATATGCCCCATAACGACGTTGCACACGGCCTCGCCAACGAGCCGATGCTACCACCAACAACGCCGACTTCCACGAAACCGACGAGGACTCCAAGAGCGCTCAACTACCGTTGCAGCAAAGCCGTCTTCGCAGGGGCAATGGTGGGTCGCTTACAGGAAGGGCAAATACGCAAAAATATCCACATGCAAGCTACCGCGCGCTGGTTCGGGCACTCGACCCCCATCTCGACCGCCCTCCGGCCCCGCCAGAGAAGCGCGACGGTTTCCCCCGACTTTCGATGGGGCAAAGTCTGGGTCCTGTCCGTGCGGAGGTCGTTGCAACCGACTTCGCGTGGCGGGCTGCAGCTACTGCCGGGCCGTGCGTCGCCTCGATGGCCAGCGGCGCACGGGGCCCCGCGTAATTTCAGCCCGCGGTGCCCCGCCTCGCAGTCCATGCCGCTCGCGCCGCCCGCGGCCGTCGTGGAGTGCAGGGGCCGCCGCCCCTCCGACCGCGGCCGTTGGCCATTCCAGAGTCCGGGGGGCGCCCGCCGACCCGATCGCGACGGCCGCAGTCCTCGCCGGGGCGCGCGGCCGCCCTCCTGCGACTCCCGCCGCCGCTCCCGCGGCGCGCGCCGCAGCTCCCAGCGCGGGCGCAGCTGGCCCTGGGGCCCCCGGCGCAATTCTCATCGCAGTGGATCCCAGTCCCGGGGTTTCCGCGGCCGCGCCAGCCCTCGCAGCGAATCTCGTTCGCCTATGTTCACCTGGGCGGAGCGGCCGATCGCCTGGACCGAGCCGCGGATGGTGGCGCAGCCTGGCGCGCCGCATCAGAGACAGCGCTGGCCGCCAAACCGCCCAAGCGCAATCGACGCGCCGACCCCTGGAACCGCGACGTCGCCGAGGCCCGCGCATATGCCGCGTTCAAGCAGACGCGGCCGTGCAATAATCCGCCCTGACAGGGCCCCCCCGCGCGCCTGGCGCTTGGCGAGGCACGCAAGCTTATCGACGCCATTGAAGGAGACGTTGACCACTGGGGGTTTGCGACCGTCGTTCCAGCGCGACCAGCCCCGTTGCGTTGTCGCAGGGGTCGTGACCGACTGCGGAAGGAACATGCTGCATTGGCAGCTTCGAAAGATCAGAATGGTCCTCCCTGCTGCCCCAGCCGGACTCACCGGACTCGCCGGACTCGCGGACACGCTGGCCACCGGAAACACCGGACACTACGGACATACCGGACACAACGGACACACCGGACACACCGGACACATCGGACACACCGGACACACCGGACATACCGGACATACCGGTCCCACCGGACCCACCAGACCCACCGGACTCGCCGGACTCACCGGACTCGCAGGACCCACCGGACTCTCGGATTCACCGGACTCCCGGATCACCCGACGATTTTGATTGTACTGGTGATAGTGCTGGTATCGAGATAAGGATTCGGATGATGATGATGATGATGATGATGATGATGATGATGATGATGATGATGATGATGATGATGATGATGATGATGATGATGATGATGATGATGATGATGATGATGATGAGTACGATGATGACTTGGATGCTGCAGCTGGCGGCGTTCACGATAATTATGTTCTGGTGCTTTGCTTTTGAACGTTGATGCTGATCAGGGTGATGGCGCTTATTCTGGCAATGCGCCCGTTGTTGAAGAAGTGGGGAGGATGACAACATAATGAATGGTGCTGGTGAGGAGGAAGAGAGGGAATCAGGTAGAGGATAGCATGTTATAAGGACCATCGTAATGATGAGGGAGATGATGATCATAACGACGACGATGGTAATGATGCTGATTGTGCTCGTGGTGGGGATGCCCATGACAATGATGATGACGACGACGATGATAATGATGATGCTGAAGAGTGCGCTTATGATAATGAGGTTGGTTTGTATCATCGTGGTGATGATTCCGTCGACGGGGGACATTCTGATGGCGATCATTGTACTGATTGTGGTTGTGATGATGATGGTGGTGCTGATGTTGAGATGCCCTATTTGGATCATGATTACGGTGATGAGTACGATGATGACTTGGATGCTGCAGATGGCGGCGTTCACGATAATGATGTTTCGGCTGATTTGATTTTGAACGTTGATGCTGATCAGGGTTATGGCCCTTCCTATGGCAGTGCGCTCGTTGTTGAAAAGTTATGAGGAGGACGACAGCATGAATGGTGTTGGTGAGGAGGAAGGGAGGGAAATATGTAAACGAAAACGAATGATGAGGCATCTGATAATCATAACGACGACGATGGTAATGATGATGCTGGTTGTGTTCGTTGTGGTGATGCCCATGACGATGATGATTCCGACGACGACCATGATGCTGATGATGAGGCTGAAGCGTGTGCTTATGATGATGAGGATGGTTTGTACGATCGCGGTGATGACTCCGTCGACGGGGGATATGCAGATGCGATCATTATAACGATTTTGATTGTGACGACGGGGGTGCTGATATTGCGATAGTGATTTGGGCGATGATGACAAGTACGATGATGACTTGGATGCTGCACGTGGCGGCGTTCACGATAATTATGTTCAGGCGATTTGCTTTCAGACGTTGATGCTGATTAGGGTGATGGCGCTTATTGCGACACTGCGCATGTTGTTGGTGTGGATAGTGGACACAAGTTAGCTGTTGATGGTAAGTTTTGCTCCCGCCCTGGACCTCGACCCCCAGAGATCCACGAAGGTCCCTGGAGGTCCCCGGAGATTCTGTGTTCGTAGTGGTGATGCCGATGATGCTGATGGCGACAACGATGATGATGAGGCCGAAGTTTCTGCTTATGACGATGCGGACGGTTTGGACGATCGTGGCGGTGATTCTGTCGACGGGGGTACTGCTAATGACGCTCATTGTTACGAGTGTGGTTGTGATGATGATGATGGTGCTGATAGTTGTGATAATGAGTTCGATGATGCTGATGAGGAGTACGATGATGAGTCGGATGCTGCAGATGGCGACGTTCACGATAATGCTGTTTCTGGCGATTTGTTTGTGGACGTTGATGCTGGCTAGGGTGATGGCGCTTACTAGGACAATGCTCATGTTGGTGTGGATAGTGGTGACAAGGATGCTGTTGATGGTAAGTTCGGCTTCCGCGATGCAGATGTTGATGCTGATGGGATGCTGACGCTTACGATGATGCTACATGTGTTGTTGGTGTGGATACTGCTGACACTGATGCTGCCCATGATGAGGTCGAATATGCCGATGACAACGATGATGATGGTGTTCATGATCCTCCCAATGGGCTTTGTCCCGCTCCGCCACAGTGCTCGGGTTGTGGGCCAGAGTCGTCGGGGATATTTTTTTCGGGCCGCCTCAGAGTGTTCTCGGAGGCCTCTGGAGGGCAATTCTTGACGCTTCGCGTATTCCCACCCATCCTGCGGGTCTGGCTTGTGTTCGTTGGTTGTCCACCTGTGGCAGCTTCTCTACCGCTGGCATCCGTTCAGTGGTTTTGCATGGTAATCTTCTGGCATCGCGCCCCTTTGCCTCATACCGCCCTCTGGACTTTTCCTTGCGGGCCGCAAATCAAAAAACAAAGTATTCCCACCCATCCTAATCCGTGTCCAGCGGCTTTTGGCTGCGCCCCCTCCTTCTCCTCCTCCCCTCATTGGCACTCGTGTTCAGCGGCTTTTGGCTGCGCCCCCCCAGCCCAACAGCGCCATCACATTGCGCTGGCCGCAGAAGCGCGTCTGCCCTGAGACCTGCCCTGGGAACAGCGGTCCTTTCTTCGTCGCCGACCCGGCCATGGTTCTACTACAAGGACGTCTTGGCCCGCCGTCAGCACGCCGCCAGCGAACGGTACGGCCCAGCAGCTCTGCAGCTGCCAGCTATCGGTTCGCCTTGGCGTCGGAGGTATTTGGCTTCTGCGCGGGCAGCGTGGCAGGTGTTGAGTGGGTGCGGCTGTCCGCTTTGCTCATGGTGATTGGCTTCGTCAAAGTGTACGGCCCCGCATTGAGTGGTTCAGCCTCCTGCGGTTCAAGTTCGTTTCGCTCTTCTCGGCGCAGCCACAGCCACTAGCCCTCGTCAGTACAATTGCACCGTTGTGCTCCCGAACAGCGTGATTCGGATACGATGTGAGCGCACAGGCTACCGGTCGGAGGTTGCTCAGCCACGTGAACGCACACCAGTGGTCTGCCTCTTACTGGATGGTGCTCGGACGCGGATCAGCCACACCTCAGCTTCAGTGAGCCTTGGTGAGTCGGGTCACCCTCTCCGCATCATCGTATGCTTGTGGAGGTGCAGCGAGTTTGAGTTAGTTGCTCTCGCTCGCGCTCACCCCCCTTTTTCCGAGGTCTTGGACGGTCTGGGTCGGTGTACGCACACGTGGGCTCCGTCTGGTCATTGGCCGCTCGGACTCGCGTTCTGCCCGCGGCTTGTTACAGTGTCTTGCTGTCCGTCTTGGCCTCGCTTACGTTTGCGGTTCGGCTGGAGTTTGGCGCCGCAAGGGCGACTTCTCCTCCCGGTTCCTTTGCCGCCTCGTTGCCGCGACTTTTGCTTCCCGACCAGCCGGGCTGTCTGGGCCGGTCACCAGCAGACGCTGACATGCGTCTCAATGAGGGGCATTTTGTCCGTGGCATGTGCACGTGCCGCTGCGAGTGTTGCCCGCTGGAATCCGCGGCAATCTCGCGCCGATTAATGACGTGCCGCGCCCCGGACGTTGTGCTCGCTCCCTGTCTCTCGCCTCGGAGCCGCGGACCAAAAAGGTATTCCCACCCGTGAGCATTTTGCTCAGTGCATTTGCCTTGATCCGTGGTCCCGGACATCGCTGTTGCCGCCAGACCGTGGTCGCGCTGCCGCCGACCAAAACAAAATATTCCCACCCGCGGAAGGACGTAAGGACCATGCAGCCACCCCGAGAAGACCTAAACGACCCCATGGGAGGCATCCCCATGTACATGTGCCCCGTTACCGGTGCTGACGTTGCAAAGAAGGAGCCCGTGCAGGATAAGATAACACGCCTGCAAAAGACGCTGGGGGGGGCGTTCAATGGAGTTTGGGCCGCATGGGTGAAGAGGGCCGCCCTGAGGCAGGGGATCGGCGGAAACGAAAAGCACGACCCTAAGCGGAACGCAGTTCAGTCGTGCAGCGAGTTCCTCCAGGCCTGGGACGACGCAGGGTATGACGCCTACAAGATGGACAGCGACCTAGAGCTCAACTTCCACTGGCCGTCAGTCAAGGACAATCACATGAAACTCATGCACCGCGAACCCCGAGCCCACGCTCAACGCGGGCCCGACAGCAGCAGCAGTGGACCCGCCCCATGGACGGCAGAGGGCAGGTCAGCCACGGCGGCGCCCGTGCATGATCGATGGGCAGGTGCCGTCGGCTCTGCCACCTCCAGCCGGTGGCAGGATTGGCAGGAGTGGAACTCCTGGGGCCACCAGAAAGCCCCGTGGAAGGAAACGGACTGGAAAGGAAAAGGTAAGCGTTACTCCCCCAGGGGGGACGATCGATGCACAGACAAGCGCGCCCGATGGTGGGGCAGGGAGGACTCGTAAACCCAGGGCTAGCAGGGCCCGGTCAGCCTGTCAGCGCACCCCCAGCCCTCCTGGCCCGTCGCCTCCGCCTCCCCCCTTCACCTCCCCCCCGCCGCTCCCCGCTGGGGAATGTTTCACCTCGCAGCGCCCGGCCTCGGCCGTAACTCCCTGGGGCAATTCCCGCTGGGGCGGGGGTCTCCCCACATCTCACCCAAGGCGCTGCATAGCTAGACAGCCCACACTGGAGAAGTGGACCCTTGCCTGGACATCTCACCCCCCTTCGCAGCTGGGGACTAGCCCGCAGGGCTGACCGGTCCCGGGACCACCTACTTTGCTGTCCCAAGGCGACAGCCACTCTCCCTCGGTGACACGGGGGCGGCAGCAGATGCACCCCGCCCCTGCGCACCCCCCTTTGCTGTCCAGCCGCGACAGCCACCCACTCTCGGTAGCAGGGGGAAGTCGGTTGAAACAGCTCCCCCCCTGCGCGCCGCCCGGCCGGGAGTCCCAGGCCCCATTTTTGGCAGCTTCAGCTCTGGTGCGTATAGCTGCGGCACATGAACCCCCCCATGAGGCGCATCCCGCTGCTGGCTCACTCCAGCTGGGTCCTCAGCGGCGAGGTACTGCCACCCCCCACGATGTAAATGGTGCTTTGCGGCGGTCAGCTGCGCCCCCCATCATGCGCAGGTGCTCTCGGCGAGTAGCAGATAATGATGTTGATGGTTTCTTGCGGCGGTCAGCTGCGCCCCCCTTTCCTCACCGAAGGTGCTCTCCGCGGGTTGCAGCCGCCCCTGGGCACACCAGGTGAATGACGACGCCCCCCGGCTCGGCTGCTGGCTGGCCGCGGTGAGGGACGTTGCGCCCCCCGCCGCTCCCTCTGGCCCGGTGGGTGTCCCCACCCGTGCCCTCGGGGCCCGCCCGCGGCGGCCGTGATGGCCACGTCCGAAGGGCCCTCCCTGGCAGGCAGCGCTGACGTCTCCACCCCATGTGCCGACCCGCAGCAAATGTCGGCGGTGCTGCCTCCCGTCGGACCTCTTCGCAACAGGACCCGATGGCACAGTGGCGCCTTGGGCTGTCGCTGGCTCCCCTCGGCACTGGGAGTTGTGCTCCGGAGGGCCTGGCTCTCAGTGGTGCAGCCATTGTACAGCCTGTGGTTTCCCCCGCGCACCGTCGTGGCCGCCAGCGGGACTTGCTGTGCAGGTGCGACCTGGCTTGCCAACGTGGCGGCTGTGTTCGCAAAGTCGCACCGTGCCGCATCCCAGACGCCGCTTCCGCTCCTTGACCGTTGCCTTGGAGCCGCCGACCAAAAAGTATTCCCACCCGCCTTTCCCGCGCAGCGCAGCAGCTGCTTGGTGAGTGGGCCCGGCCGGCCTGCGGCGCTCCCAGTAGCTAATGAGGCCGTTGCCGTGTCCTGGAGCGCTTCTGACTCCGCCTGCGCCTTCGCTTGCGGAAGCGACCGAAAAAGTATTCCCACCCGCCCATCCAGGAACGATGCCCAGGAGAGCTGACGGGAGAAGGGCGGGAAAGACGTACATAGTGAAACATCGCGGGCAACAGCGGTGAATTGGGAGATCATTGGTAGCGAAGGGTGTTGGTGCTGCTGCTGGTGCTGTTGCCTCTGCTGGTAATGTTGTTGCATGTGCTGCTGCTGCTGCTGCTGGTGTTGCCGGCTCTCGTGCTGCTGGTGCTGCTGGTGCCGCTGGTGTTGCTGCTAGTGCTGGTGGTGCTGGTGGTGGTGCTGCTGGTGCTGCCGCTGCTGCTAGTGCTGTTGGTGGTGGTTGTGGTGGTGGTGCTGCTGCTGCTGGTGCTGATGCTGGTGCTGACGGTGATTGTGGAAGCAGGCCGTGTACCAATCGCCTCGGACGCGTTTTTTCGGAGGTGTCTTGGAGCCATCTTGGGGGTCTCTTGGGGTTCTCTTGGGGGCACTCTTGGGGCATTCTTGGGGCTCTTTTTGGTTGTCTTGCGGCCCTCTTGGGGTTCTTTGTGGGGGTCTGGGAATCCTGTCGGGGCCGCCTTGGCCCCCATTTGTTCAAAAAGAGGGGTGTCCCCAATTCAGGTCCTCTCCCTCGGAGGCTTAAAAAGGGCGTCTTGGGACCCTCTTTGGCCGCTCTTGGGCGCTCTTGGGGCCGTGTTGGGGCCCTCTTCAGCCCCTCTTGAGGCTCCCTTGGGCTACCTTGGGCCCACCTTGAGGCCTCAAGAGCCCATCGGAAGCGAAAAAGCGAGAAGGCTCAAACATCACATTGTAGTTGCAAGCGCTGTCGGCAATTTGGTGCCAGACGATAGCAGACGATAGCAGACGAAAGCAGACGATAGAAGACGATAGCAGACGATAGAAGACGATAGCAGACGATTGCACCCAAGTGCCTTGTTGCCTCCTGTTTGTCCCTTGCAGTTCCTGCCGGCCCCGCAGCTGGTTTCGTGCTATCGTCAGTTTTCGTCTGCAGCGGGTCCTGGCAGCTCCCAGCTGGTCCTATCGTCTGCTATCGTCCGCTATCGTCTGCTGCAGACGATAGCCGACGACAGCTACCCCTGGCGGCCCCTATCAGATCCCATCGTCTGCTATCGTCTGCACCGTTTCTCTATCGTCAGCAGCGGGCCCTGGCAGCCCCTAGTTAGCCCTATCGTCTGCTATCGTCTGCTGCAGATGGTAGCAGACGACAGCCACCCCTGGCGGCCCCTATCAGATCCTATCGTCTGCAATCGTCTGCACCGGTTCTTGGCGGCCCCCAGTTGGACCTATCGTCTGCTATCGTCTGCTGTCGTCTGCAGCGGTTCCTGGCGGCCGCTAGCTGGTCCTATCGTCTGCTATCGTCTGCTGCAGACGATGGCAGACGATTGCCACCAGTGGCCCTATTGCGTCTATCGGCCCCTGCAGTCGATGCCCATCCAGCAACGATGCCCAGGCGAATTATCTTGATCAGGGAGACAATGGGGAGTGGAGCGAGGAGGGGGAAAGAGGATGAGGAGAAGGACGAAAACGATGGGGAGGAGGAGAGCGATCGGAATTGGGCAGCGGGAGGAGGATGAGGAGTACGAGAATGAGATGGGGGAGGAGAAGTGGAGTGTCAGTGCATATGGGTGTGCGCCTGAGTGTGAGTGTGTATGAGCTTAAGCTTATAGGAGTGTGAGTGGTCTGTTTGTGAATGGGTCTGTGTGCGTCGATGCCCATCCAGCAACGATGCCCAGGCGAATGATCTTGATCAGGGAAAAAATGGGGAGGGGAGCGAGGAGGGGGAAAGAGGATGAGGAGAAGGAGGAAAACGAGGGGGAGGAGGAGAGCGAACGTAATTGGGTAGCGGGAGGAGGATGAGGAGTACGAGAATGAGAGGGGGGAGGAGAAGTGGAGTGTGATTGTATATGAGTGCGCGCCTGAGTGTGACTGTGTATGAGCTTAAGCTTCTAGGAGTGTGAGTGGTCTGAGTGTGAATAGGTCTGTGTGCTATTGTGTTTGATTGTGCTTGAGTCTGGGTGTGAGTGAGTCTGAGTGCGGATGAGTCTGAGTATGAGATATGAGTGAGTGCGACTGTGGGGGAGTCTGAGTGTGAGTGCAGGTCGGGCCTTGAATCTGCAGTTTGAGTGCGTCCCGGACCGAGTTCCAGCGGTCCCAGGGCCCGAAAACAGCTTCCATATGGCCTCACCGGACTCGCCAGACTCACCGGACTCACCGGACTCACCGGACCCACCGGCGCCAGCGGAGGAGGCACCGGACTCACAGGACCCGCCGGACCCAGCGGACTCGCCGGACTCACCGGACTCCCCGGACGCGCCGGACTCACCGGACTCGCCGGACCCACCGGACCCACCGCATCCGCCAGCAGCGCCAGATCCGGCCGAGCCCACCGGACTGGAGCAGCAGGGTGCACCATCCTCCAGCCTATCTGCAAGAGCGACGAGCATATCCTAGGGGCCGCCAACGGCGAGCGCACTGTGAACGTGCATATTCCGTTCCAGATGCCGGAGTTCAAGCTTGCCAGTAACGCCTCGGCCGTGGACGATTTGCCTTCAATCTTCTCACTCGGCCGCCTCATCGTGGAAGGCGACTTCGGCTTGCCGTGGGTGCGGGAGGAGGGATGCATTCTCACCGCCCCCGATTGACAAGACCATCGTGTTCCCATGTCCACAGACATGCCTTACTTGGAACCCGACAGCGCGGAACCAATCCGCAGACGCTCCAGCGCGGCCCAACCAGGACGCGCCCGTCAAACAATTGACCCCCGCACCACCGAAGGCACTGCCCCGAAGGCCCTGACTGCGAGATATGCTCTCGCGCGCTTGCTCAAAACAAACCGTGCAAAAGACGTCGCAAACAGTCAGTTCCCGCCGACCCAGCCGCAGAGGATGTAACCTACATCCCTTTGTTCTGATGCGCTGTGCTGAGTCTCTCGCTGCGGGCCGCGTTGTGATCTCCGACTTGGCGGCCGCCGCTCGACACGGTGATGCGATCGCTTTGGTCGTTCTCGACCGCCGCGCCGGCGCCGTCGCGGCTTGCCCGGCGGTGCGCGCTGGCGCGGAGACCGCCCGGGGACCTGCCCTGCGTTTTCTTACTCCCAAGGACAAAGTCACGCGCGTCTGCGCCGACGGCTCCGGCGTGCTCGGCAGGGCTCGCAGCGAGCTTGGCTGGCGCCGCGACGCCGGCGCCGCGCGTCGACCGCGGGCCAGCGGGTTGGCCGAGCGAGCGGCGAAGCGCTTCATCAAGTGTGCCAGTTCTTTCCAGCGTGCGTCTGGAATGGTGCATGAATGGTGGAAGGCAGCAATGCGGAACAACTGCTGCGCGCGCATTTTGTCGGCCCAGCCGCAGGCGTCGTTGGCGACGGCCCAGCCAGTGACGGCGTCGCAGCCAGCGAGGCGCGTTCTGGCGAATCCTTTCCCGGCCGCGCAGTGCCCCCTGGTGTGCGCGAGTGCGGGGGGGGGGGGTCCTATGTGCCGAGCTCAGCGAGGACGCGATTCGAGGAGCGTGCCCACGAAGGTTTGGTCATGGGGCGCCGCCTTCACTCGGGTGGCTGCTGGCCCAGCGACTACCTCGCCATCGACGCGGCCGCTCGCGCGAAGTGCCCCGGCGGCTCTCACTGTCGCGTTCGCCAACGCAAGGACATCACCATTTCGGAGACGATCGTTTCCCGGTCCGAGACGGCCTCCGCCGCCGCCGCGACTCGATGGAGCGCGACGCCGTGGCCGCCGAAGCCGCGCGACCATTCGGCGAGCGCGTTGCGCCAGAACCACTCTTCGCGCGCCTGCTGGACTGGGGCGATCTGTGCGTCGGCAACTCCTGCGGGGCCTGAAGAGGCCGCTGAGCCTGCCGCGCCGACGCGCCCGCGGGATTATTTGGAACATCGTGGGGCATGCCGCGCGCGAATCGTCCGCGCGCCCCGTGCCGAGCTTGCTATTCGCGCCCGCGACGCCGATGGCGTGTCCATCATTGTTGACGAGCTGGATTCGTCTCGTCTCGTAAAGACGACGTCATTTTCTGGGGGGGCCAGACGTTCGAGACGGGGCTGTCTGCGAGCCTTGAACTGGAGAAATATGTTTCACCGAGCTGCGGGAGATCGCGCAAGACAGCTGGATCAGCGTCGTGCGCCTCGCGACCAATATGCAAAATACCGACTGCGCATGTCGCGTAATTCCAGAGGCTTGGACATACATCTCTCGGAAACAACGACGAATTGAGAAGGATTGCCGCCGGGGTGTTCTTCGAGCGCGCGACGTTCGTCGTCGTTATTCGAGCGCCCTTGCGACCGCGGCGCGTGAATCTGCAAGCGCTGACATGCCTCGCAGGTCCTACTCGATGCGGGGGAGTGCCCCTGCGCCGCCGCAATCTCGCAGCGACGAAATTCCGGATCAGGGTCCTGTGTTAGCCGCGCGCAATCCCACCGAACGGGAGGTTGCCGGTGCGGCGCGTGCTCGGAAAGCTTCGTTCGCTGATCGCGAACGACCGCGACGGCTGAGCGCCTGGATGGAAGGGACTGTTGCGGAGAAAGGCGATGCCAGGAAACAGGCAGTGCGCCGCGGCGCTACTGTCTGTTTTTGACACTTACTTGAGCTATTGTGCCTCCGGACACTCTGAGTTGCACAGTGACCGACAGAAGTTCGAGGGCCGCGTAGCTCTTCGTGGCGACAGCATATAAGACGATATTAGTTTGGCCGCCGTCTTTGCTGATTGCGCTTCCAGTGCCTCCCGCATCGAGGCCTCCAAGCTTTGCGACGGCTCGCTGCCTGTCAGCGATGGTGAACGAAGTGGCGCGCTCGGAGCGTGCGCGCAAGCATTGTTGCATGGGGGTGGCAGAATCGATCCGCGGACGCATGGGTCTCGCAACCGCCCATCCGTCGCCCAGATTCATGGGCCAAGTGCAAGCAACCACTTCGTCGCCTTCGACTCGCGCTCCATGGCCACCCGCTGACTGGCGTATTTTGGGGGCGGCACTGCCGTGCTTCCTTGGGACTAGTCGGATTTATCCCTGCGCAGGGTTGGAATTTCCGTGGGCGCACCCCAAACTGAGATTCGCGCTCCCTGTTCACGTTGATGACTTCAAGACGGCTGGGCCTATGCGCAGCCTGACCAACGAATGGGACCTCTTTCGCAAAGACTGGATCAAACTTGATCCACCGACCAAGTTCTGCCGCAACCTTGGCTGCGGTTACTCATCTCGCACTTTGACTGACGCCGAGCTTGAGGGGCGCGTGGGAACAATCCGACCTGCTTCTGCGCGAGCATCCCGCGTCCGATGCAAAAATGACGGAAGACATTCGCGGCGTCCGAATCGACGTGCTTCATGCCACCAACCAGCTTGTACAACCTTACTTGGGGGCCGCCGCCGTGCTGTCTATCGTCCCCAAACTCGCGCACACGGACTCGCCAACCGCCGACATACCAGGCATCGAGGACAACTCCTTCCCTGAATCTGGCTTCGATTACCGCGGTGTCCCTGGCCCTGAGGCGGCTAGCGCCCGCGTGGAGATTCTCTTCTCGGCGCGGAGCTGCCAGTTCGCCCTTTTGCTCCTGGTCTGCATGCTTGCCCGTGAGATCGCAAAGTGGAACTCTGTCTGTGACAAGCGTTTCCGCCGACTCGTGTGTCACTTAACGCGTGCACGAGATCTTTGCGCACGCGTCGTCGTCGGTGACCATGCTGGCAAGCGCTCTGTCTTGCTATGCGCAGATGCATCCTATGCCGACTGCGTTTCGTCGTCGAAATCCACTCGTGGCATTCTCGCCGCCCTCGTCGGCAATCAATGCTGCGTGCAAGAGCAGTGGTTCCCCGTTCGTCTTCGGAATCCAATATCGTTGCTTTGGACGCAGCCTTATGAATGGAAGGTTTGCCATCTGCGACGTTCTAGGAACACATTGTCAAGGCCGTGCAGAGAAAAGCTCTCAGACCGCTAGTCTTGCCTGCTTTGTTCGCTGCGACGGTTGCCTCCAGCGGCTCCCCCGCGTGGCTGCGGTGTTGCCAGCTCGTAGAAATCGCGCCCCCCCACCGAAAAAGCAAGGGCTTCTCTTGGACCCCGCCCCCCCCCCCTCGCCCGGGCGTCCTCCTCCTGGAGCCTCGTGGGGCCCCCCGGGGAGGATTCGTGCCCCAGGAGAGGCCCGATCTATAGGGGCAGGCGTGCATAGAACATTGCGGATTGGATCCGCAGTAGAGGGGCAATCTATATATAGGAGCACACGTAAAACTCAAAGGACCCGTACTCCATGGGAGGTCAAATCTATAGCAACATACGTACAATTTTTAGGATTGGATACGCAGGGGAAGGACAATCTATAGAAGCAGACGTAAAACAGAACAGGGATTCGCGTCCCAGGGGGGTCCCAATCTGTAGGAGCATACGTACAACACATTGGATTGGAGCCACTCTTGTGGCCGTTTGAGGCCAATTGCTCCTGTGGCCTCTTAGGGCATCCTGGTGCCTTCCGGGGCCTCCTGGTGCCTCCTGGCGTTTCCTGTGGCCTCCTTGAGGATGGTGCACCCTGCTGCTCCAGTCCGGTGGGCTCGGCCGGATCTGGCGCTGCTGGCGGATGCGGTGGGTCCGGTGGGTCCGGCGAGTCCGGTGAGTCCGGCGCGTCCGGGGAGTCCGGTGAGTCCGGGGAGTCCGCTGGGTCCGGCGGGTCCTGTGAGTCCGGTGCCTCCTCCGCTGGCGCCGGTGGGTCCGGTGAGTCCGGTGAGTCCGGTGAGTCTGGCGAGTCCGGTGAGGCCATATGGAAGCTGTTTTCGGGCCCTGGGACCGCTGGAACTCGGTCCGGGACGCACTCAAACTGCAGATTTAAGGCCCGACTTGCACTCACACTCAGACTCCCCCACAGTCGCACTCACTCATATCTCATACTCAGACTCATCCGCACTCAGACTCACTCACACTCAGACTCAAGCACAATCAAACACAATAGCACACAGACCTATTCACACTCAGACCACTCACACTCCTAGAAGCTTAAGCTCATACACAGTCACACTCAGGCGCGCACTCATATACAATCACACTCCACTTCTCCTCCCCCCTCTCATTCTCGTACTCCTCATCCTCCTCCCGCTACCCAATTCCGTTCGCTCTCCTCCTCCCCCTCGTTTTCCTCCTTCTCCTCATCCTCTTTCCCCCTCCTCGCTCCCCTCCCCATTTTTTCCCTGATCAAGATCATTCGCCTGGGCATCGTTGCTGGATGGGCATCGACGCACACAGACCCATTCACAAACAGACCACTCACACTCCTATAAGCTTAAGCTCATACACACTCACACTCAGGCGCACACCCATATACACTGACACTCCACTTCTCCTCCCCCATCTCATTCTCGTACTCCTCATCCTCCTCCCGCTGCCCAATTCCGATCGCTCTCCTCCTCCCCATCGTTTTCGTCCTTCTCCTCATCCTCTTTGGCATCGTTGCTGGATGGGCATCGACTGCAGGGGCCGATAGACGCAATAGGGCCACTGGTGGTAATCGTCTGCCATCGTCTGCAGCAGACGATAGCAGACGATAGGACCAGCTAGCGGCCGCCAGGAACCGCTGCAGACGACAGCAGACGATAGCAGACGATAGGTCCAACTGGGGGCCGCCAAGAACCGGTGCAGACGATTGCAGACGATAGGATCTGATAGGGGCCGCCAGGGGTGGCTGTCGTCTGCTACCATCTGCAGCAGACGATAGCAGACGATAGGGCTAACTAGGGGCTGCCAGGGCCCGCTGCTGACGATAGAGAAACGGTGCAGACGATAGCAGACGATGGGATCTGATAGGGGCCGCCAGGGGTAGCTGTCGTCGGCTATCGTCTGCAGCAGACGATAGCGGACGATAGCAGACGATAGGACCAGCTGGGAGCTGCCAGGACCCGCTGCAGACGAAAACTGACGATAGCACGAAACCAGCTGCGGGGCCGGCAGGAACTGCAAGGGACAAACAGGAGGCAACAAGGCACTTGGGTGCAATCGTCTGCTATCGTCTTCTATCGTCTGCTATCGTCTTCTATCGTCTGCTTTCGTCTGCTATCGTCTGCTATCGTCTGGCACCAAATTGCCGACAGCGCTTGCAACTACAATGTGATGTTTGAGCCTTCTCGCTTTTTCGCTTCCGATGGGCTCTTGAGGCCTCAAGGTGGGCCCAAGGTAGCCCAAGGGAGCCTCAAGAGGGGCTGAAGAGGGCCCCAACACGGCCCCAAGAGCGCCCAAGAGCGGCCAAAGAGGGTCCCAAGACGCCCTTTTTAAGCCTCCGAGGGAGAGGACCTGAATTGGGGACACCCCTCTTTTTGAACAAATGGGGGCCAAGGCGGCCCCGACAGGATTCCCAGACCCCCACAAAGAACCCCAAGAGGGCCGCAAGACAACCAAAAAGAGCCCCAAGAATGCCCCAAGAGTGCCCCCAAGAGAACCCCAAGAGACCCCCAAGATGGCTCCAAGACACCTCCGAAAAAACGCGTCCGAGGCGATTGGTACACGGCCTGCTTCCACCATCACCGTCAGCACCAGCATCAGCACCAGCAGCAGCAGCACCACCACCACAACCACCACCAACAGCACTAGCAGCAGCGGCAGCACCAGCAGCACCACCACCAGCACCACCAGCACTAGCAGCAACACCAGCGGCACCAGCAGCACCAGCAGCACGAGAGCCGGCAACACCAGCAGCAGCAGCAGCACATGCAACAGCATTACCAGCAGAGGCAACAGCACCAGCAGCAGCACCAACACCCTTCGCTACCAGTGATCTCCCAATTCACCGCTGTTGCCCGCGATGTTTCACTATGTACGTCTTTCCCGCCCTTCTCCCGTCAGCTCTCCTGGGCATCGTTCCTGGATGGGCGGGTGGGAATACTTTTTCGGTCGCTTCCGCAAGCGAAGGCGCAGGCGGAGTCAGAAGCGCTCCAGGACACGGTAACGGCCTCATTAGCTACTGGGAGCGCCGCAGGCCGGCCGGGCCCACTCACCAAGCAGCTGCTGCGCTGCGCGGGAAAGGCGGGTGGGAATACTTTTTGGTCGGCGGCTCCAAGGCAACGGTCAAGGAGCGGAAGCGGCGTCTGGGATGCGGCACGGTGCGACTTTGCGAACACAGCCGCCACGTTGGCAAGCCAGGTCGCACCTGCACAGCAAGTCCCGCTGGCGGCCACGACGGTGCGCGGGAGAAACCACAGGCTGTACAATGGCTGCACCACTGAGAGCCAGGCCCTCTGGAGCACAACTCCCAGTGCCGAGGGGAGCCAGCGACAGCCCAAGGCGCCACTGTGCCATCGGGTCCTGTTGCGAAGAGGTCCGACGGGAGGCAGCACCGCCGACATTTGCTGCGGGTCGGCACATGGGGTGGAGACGTCAGCGCTGCCTGCCAGGGAGGGCCCTTCGGACGTGGCCATCACGGCCGCCGCGGGCGGGCCCCGAGGGCACGGGTGGGGACACCCACCGGGCCAGAGGGAGCGGCGGGGGGCGCAACGTCCCTCACCGCGGCCAGCCAGCAGCCGAGCCGGGGGGCGTCGTCATTCACCTGGTGTGCCCAGGGGCGGCTGCAACCCGCGGAGAGCACCTTCGGTGAGGAAAGGGGGGCGCAGCTGACCGCCGCAAGAAACCATTAACATCATTATCTGCTACTCGCCGAGAGCACCTGCGCATGATGGGGGGTGCAGCTGACCGCCGCAAAGCACCATTTACATCGTGGGGGGTGGCAGTACCTCGCCGCTGAGGACCCAGCTTGAGTGAGCCAGCAGCGGGATGCGCCTCATGGGGGGGTTCATGTGCCGCAGCTATACGCACCAGAGCTGAAGCTGCCAAAACTGGGGCCTGGGACTCCCGGCCGGGCGGCGCGCAGGGGGGGAGCTGTTTCAACCGACTTCCCCCTGCTACCGAGAGTGGGTGGCTGTCGCGGCTGGACAGCAAAGGGGGGTGCGCAGGGGCGGGGTGCATCTGCTGCCGCCCCCGTGTCACCGAGGGAGAGTGGCTGTCGCCTTGGGACAGCAAAGTAGGTGATCCCGGGACCGGTCAGCCCTGCGGGCTAGTCCCCAGCTGCGAAGGGGGGTGAGATGTCCAGGCAAGGGTCCACTTCTCCAGTGTGGGCTGTCTAGCTATGCAGCGCCTTGGGTGAGATGTGGGGAGACCCCCGCCCCAGCGGGAATTGCCCCAGGGAGTTACGGCCGAGGCCGGGCGCTGCGAGGTGAAACATTCCCTAGCGGGGAGCGGCGGGGGGGAGGTGAAGGGGGGAGGCGGAGGCGACGGGCCAGGAGGGCTGGGGGTGCGCTGACAGGCTGACCAGGCCCTGCTAGCCCTGGGCTTACGAGTCCTCCCTGCCCCACCATCGGGCGCGCTTGTCTGTGCATCGATCGTCCCCCTGGGGGAGTAACGCTTACCTTTTCCTTTCCAGTCCGTTTCCGTCCACGGGGCTTTCTGGTGGCCCCAGGAGTTCCACTCCTGCCAGTCCTGCCACCGGTTGGAGGTGGCAGAGCCGACGGCACCTGCCCATCGATCATGCACGGGCGCCGCCGTGGCTGACCTGCCCTCTGCCGTCCATGGGGCGGGTCCACTGCTGCTGCTGTCGGGCCCGCGTTGAGCGTGGGCTCGGGGTTCGCGGTGCATGAGCTTCATGTGATTGTCCTTGACTGACGGCCAGTGGACGTTGAGCTCTAGGTCGCTGTCCATCTTGTAGGCGTCATACCCTGCGTCGTCCCAGGCCTGGAGGAACTCGCTGCACGACTGAACTGCGTTCCGCTTAGGGTCGTGCTTTTCGCTTCCGCCGATCCCCTGCCTCAGGGCGGCCCTCTTCACCCATGCGGCCCAAACTCCATTGAACGCTCCCCCCAGCGTCTTTTGCAGGCGTGTTATCTTATCCTGCACGGGTTCCTTCTTTGCAACGTCAGCATCGGTAACGGGGCACATGTACATGGGGATGCCTCCCATGGGGTCGTTTAGGTCTTCTCGGGGTGGCTGCATGGTCCTTACGTCCTTCCGCGGGTGGGAATATTTTTTTTTGGTCGGCGGCCGCGCGACCACGGTCTGGCGGCAACAGCGATGTCCGGGACCACGGATCAAGGCAAATGCACTGAGCAAAATGCTCACGGGTGGGAATACCTTTTTGGTCCGCGGCTCCGAGGCGAGAGACAGGGAGCGAGCACAACGTCCGGGGCGCGGCACGTCATTAATCGGCGCGAGATTGCCGCGGATTCCAGCGGGCAACACTCGCAGCGGCACGTGGACATGCCAGGGACAAAATGCCCCTCATTGAGACGCATGTCAGCGTCTGCTGGTGACCGGCCCAGACAGCCCGGCTGGTCGGGAAGCAAAAGTCGCGGCAACGAGGCGGCAAAGGAACCGGGAGGAGAAGTCGCCCTTGCGGCGCCAAACTCCAGCCGAACCGCAAACGTAAGCGAGGCCAAGACGGACAGCAAGACACTGTAACAAGCCGCGGGCAGAACGCGAGTCCGAGCGGCCAATGACCAGACGGAGCCCACGTGTGCGCACACCGACCCAGACCGTCCAAGACCTCGGAAAAAGGGGGGTGAGCGCGAGCGAGAGCAACTAACTCAAACTCGCTGCACCTCCACAAGCATACGATGATGCGGAGAGGGTGACCCGACTCACCAAGGCTCACTGAAGCTGAGGTGTGGCTGATCCGCGTCCGAGCACCATCCAGTAAGAGGCAGACCACTGGTGTGCGTTCACGTGGCTGAGCAACCTCCGACCGGTAGCCTGTGCGCTCACATCGTATCCGAATCACGCTGTTCGGGGGCACAACGGTGCAATTGTACTGACGAGGGCTAGTGGCTGTGGCTGCGCCGAGAAGAGCGAAACGAACTTGAACCGCAGGAGGCTGAACCACTCAATGCGGGGCCGTACACTTTGACGAAGCCAATCACCATGAGTAAGGCGGACAGCCGCACCCACTCAACACCTGCCACGCTGCCCGTGCAGAAGCCAAATACCTCCGACGCCAAGGCGAACCGATAGCTGGCAGCTGCAGAGCTGCTGGGCCGTACCGTTCGTTGGCGGCGTGCTGACGGCGGGCCAAGACGTCCTTGTAGTAGAACCATGGCCGGGTCGGCGACGAAGAAAGGACCGCTGTTCCCAGGGCAGGTCTCAGGGCAGACGCGCTTCTGCGGCCAGCGCAATGTGATGGCGCTGTTGGGCTGGGGTGGGGCGCAGCCAAAAGCCGCTGAACACGAGTGCCAATGAGGGGAGGAGGAGAAGGAGGGGGCGCAGCCAAAAGCCGCTGGACACGGATTAGAATGGGTGGGAATACTTTGTTTTTTGATTTGCGGCCCGCAAGGGAAAGTCCAGAGGGCGGTATGAGGCAAAGGGGCGCGATGCCAGAAGATTACCATGCAAAACCACTGAACGGATGCCAGCGGTAGAGAAGCTGCCACAGGTGGACAACCAACGAACACAAGCCAGACCCGCAGGATGGGTGGGAATACGCGAAGCGTCAAGAATTGCCCTCCAGAGGCCTCCGAGAACACTCTGAGGCGGCCCGAAAAAAATATCCCCGACGACTCTGGCCCACAACCCGAGCACTGTGGCGGAGCGGGACAAAGCCCATTGGGATGATCATGAACACCATCATCATCGTTGTCATCGGCATATTCGACCTCATCATCGGCAGCATCAGTGTCAGCAGTATCCACACCAACAACACATGTAGCATCATCGTAAGCGTCAGCATCCCATCAGCATCAACATCTGCATCGCGGAAGCCGAACTTACCATCAACAGCATCCTTGTCACCACTATCCACACCAACATGAGCATTGTCCTAGTAAGCGCCATCACCCTAGCCAGCATCAACGTCCACAAACAAATCGCCAGAAACAGCATTATCGTGAACGTCGCCATCTGCAGCATCCGACTCATCATCGTACTCCTCATCAGCATCATCGAACTCATTATCACAACTATCAGCACCATCATCATCATCACAACCACACTCGTAACAATGAGCGTCATTAGCAGTACCCCCGTCGACAGAATCACCGCCACGATCGTCCAAACCGTCCGCATCGTCATAAGCAGAAACTTCGGCCTCATCATCATCGTTGTCGCCATCAGCATCATCGGCATCACCACTACGAACACATAATCTCCGGGGACCTCCAGGGACCTTCGTGGATCTCTGGGGGTCGAGGTCCAGGGCGGGAGCAAAACTTACCATCAACAGATAACTTGTGTCCACTATCCACACCAACAACATGCGCAGTGTCGCAATAAGCGCCATCACCCTAATCAGCATCAACGTCTGAAAGCAAATCGCCTGAACATAATTATCGTGAACGCCGCCACGTGCAGCATCCAAGTCATCATCGTACTTGTCATCATCGCCCAAATCACTATCGCAATATCAGCACCCCCATCGTCACAATCAAAATCGTTATAATGATCGCATCTGCATATCCCCCGTCGACGGAGTCATCACCGCGATCGTACAAACCATCCTCATCATCATAAGCACACGCTTCAGCCTCATCATCAGCATCATGGTCGTCGTCGGAATCATCATCGTCATGGGCATCACCACAACGAACACAACCAGCATCATCATTACCATCGTCGTCGTTATGATTATCAGATGCCTCATCATTCGTTTTCGTTCACATATTTCCCTCCCTTCCTCCTCACCAACACCATTCATGCTGTCGTCCTCCTCATAACTTTTCAACAACGAGCGCACTGCCATAGAAAGGGCCATAACCCTGATCAGCATCAACGTTCAAAATCAAATCACCCGAAACATCATTATCGTGAACGCCGCCATCTGCAGCATCCAAGTCATCATCGTACTCATCACCGTAATCATGATCCAAATAGGGCATCTCAACATCAGCACCACCATCATCATCACAACCACAATCAGTACAATGATCGCCATCAGAATCTCCCCCGTCGACGGAATCATCACCACGGTGATACAAACCAACCTCATTATCATAAGCGCACTCTTCAGCATCATCATTATCATCGTCGTCGTCATCATCATTGTCATGGGCATCCCCACCACGAGCACAATCAGCATCATTACCATCGTCGTCGTTATGATCATCATCTCCCTCATCATTACGATGGTCCTTATAACATGCTATCCTCTACCTGATTCCCTCTCTTCCTCCTCACCAGCACCATTCATTCTGTTGTCATCCTCCCCACTTCTTCAACAACGGGCGCATTGCCAGAATAAGCGCCATCACCCTGATCAGCATCAACGTTCAAAAGCAAAGCACCAGAACATGATTATCGTGAACGCCGCCAGCTGCAGCATCCAAGTCATCATCGTACTCATCATCATCATCGTACTCATCATCATCATCATCATCATCATCATCATCATCATCATCATCATCATCATCATCATCATCATCATCATCATCATCATCATCATCATCATCCGAATCCTTATCTCGATACCAGCACTATCACCAGTACAATCAAAATCGTCGGGTGATCCGGGAGTCCGGTGAATCCGAGAGTCCGGTGGGTCCTGCGAGTCCGGTGAGTCCGGCGAGTCCGGTGGGTCTGGTGGGTCCGGTGGGACCGGTATGTCCGGTATGTCCGGTGTGTCCGGTGTGTCCGATGTGTCCGGTGTGTCCGGTGTGTCCGTTGTGTCCGGTATGTCCGTAGTGTCCGGTGTTTCCGGTGGCCAGCGTGTCCGGCGAGTCCGGCGAGTCCGGTGAGTCCGGCTGGGGCAGCAGGGAGGACCATTCTGGCCTCCTTGGGCCTCCTTTGGCCTCCTGTGGGTTCCTGGAGCGTCTTGGGGCTTCCTGAGGCATCCTGGAGCTTCCTGGGGCCTCCTCTTGGGGAACCTGTGGGCTCTTGAGTCTTCCCGTGGCCTCCCCCAAACCACCCAATCTTTAACAAAAACCAATCGCGCCGGTAAAACCGGTCGCTGCCGGTTTTGCCGGTCGCGCCAAGAGCATCGCGATTGGTTTTCCCCAAAGTCGGGCGTGCTGATCAGTAGCGCGCGACCGCGCTCGCACGCGTAAAGCCAATCGCGACGAGCGCATAAATCAAGAGCGGCGCGCGGGAAAACCGAGAGCGATGAGAGTGAAAGCCAAGAGCGGAAAGCGGGGCGCAATGCTACGAACGCAGCCTCACGGGCGCAATTTCCAATGCCGCTCGCGCTGGCCCAGCGCGCGCTAGCCGTGCAACGGCAGTTGCGCGCGTCCCAGGAAAGCGTTGTATCGACCTACGCTGGTGCGAACAGTGTCGACGTGGCGCCTGTGAAATCAACCGTTCTTTATTCCTTAGGAACCCCGTGGCGCTTTCACCGTGGCGCCTGTAAAATCAACCGGGGAACGCCTTTTTTTCAAAGCCGCCAGAATTAGGAACAGCAGTCGAAAACATCAGTGTTGCATGCAACCGCTTCGCGCTCTTAGTTGGCATTAACTCCGTAAACACATTAGCTGCGCGTCTAGTTTCTGGGCCACCTTTGGGCCGCGCCAAAGCGCCCCTGAACTGTCAGCCAAAAAAACCAAACGTCGAATTAATGGCATGGGCGTCGCAACGCCCTTTGGCTCGATGGCAGAAACTATCACGCGCGTCGCGGGCGTCTCAGAGGCCCGCTTCTTTGCAGCGCTGCAACCATCTTTGCAGACGCCCAGGGGCAATTGTCGCACCGAGCAAGCGAACGCCATGCATTTAATGTCCCGCCCGCCCAAATCGACCCGCCCGACAAAGGGGGGAATTCTAGTATAATTGAATCCAGCCCGATGAGGATGTTAGTACAGTTGGAACCAGCTATAGTAGAAGTTTAGTCGAGCTACATCGCATTTAGTGGGACTATATTAGAGCTGGATCCAGCTATAATGGGATTCTGTTAGGGGGAGGGGCCCCCACTCCCGGTTCGAACCCCTTCCCCCTTGCAAGTCAGGGCGGGGGCGGGAGGGTCCAGTTCGAACCCCCTTCTCCTGGACGAGGGGGAGGGGCCCGGTTCGACCCCCCCCCCGCATTGCAGCTCAGGGGGGGGAGGGTCCCCCGCGGTTCGAACCCCCTCCTCCTTTGGACAAGGGGGTGGGGCCCGGTTCGAACCCCCCCCCCCTTGAAGAGGAAAAACGGCGGGCCCAATGCGGGGGGCAGGTGTCCAGGGCCCCTCCCCGTTCTCCAGGGGCGCTCAATGTTTTTGTTTCCCTCCCCCGGTTCCAGCGTGTCAAGGTTCTTTTTTCGTTGCGAACGTCCACGATGCGAGCTCTTTCTGATATCGACATATCCATTGTCAGTGGTATTGGCAGATTGATGGAGAAACCGATAGGTCGCAGACCGCTGCATGTATGATTTTTAAACTTACGGATATACTTTTACAATGATCGTCCCGTTGGTTGGCCCCGTTGGTTATCCGTATGGCTGTCCCGATGGATATGTAGTGCGATCGACAGGTCTATTGACGAAGTGGTAGATCTCAACATCAAGTTCGATGGCCCGATGTGTGCCAACTCGCGGGTGGAATTGCGCGTCCAATGCAGTTCAAAAATCTGGTAACCTCCCCTATCCTCCTTCGCACTCGAAGGGCGGTCTATGCGGTATTATATGACGGGCTCGGGCCGTCTTGAAGGTTTCATGGAGAGTCCAGACGCCGCCGCGGCAGCTTGCTCGGGGCATGTCTTGGTAGCTTTCGGATTCTCAATGGTTTCACGGAGTCCACGTTACTTGTGAGACATAGGACGCAGGAAACGTTACTTCACGTTGGCGTCTCATTGTTTCTTGTGCCCCAGGACTTTGCTAGAAGTGTTTGCTGGGAGGTATTCGGGCTTGTGTAGTTGGTAATTGGGGCCGTCTGGTGAGATGTAGAGACCGTGTTGGAGATTTCGCCAGTCGATGTTGAACCGCTTTGCGGTGCGAGCACCTAGGGGGGGCTTGCGATTAGGGGGGATGCTCTTGCATAACTACAGGAACACAGCCAGACACCCGCGAGACATTTGAACACGCCCCATCGCTCTGCGGGCACGGCTGCGGATTTCAACGCCATTCGTCCCGTACTCACTTGGCTGCGGGAGCGGAGGCGGCTTCCAAACGTGAGGTTGTGGCGCGACTTGTTGACTGGCGAGCGCAACGACCAGGTGCAGTTCCTCCGCGACGTCAAGATTGACATCTCGTGTTTGTACAAGCGCGACCTTGAGCGTCGCAGCCACTGGAAACGCTGTGACCCACACCAGCAGTGGCCAGATGCCGACTGCATCGAGCTCGACACCTCGCAGCAGGAGGCCATGCGGCACATCCTGAGCTGCTCCGTGCCCCTCGTGCAAGGCCCGCCTGGCACGGGCAAGTCCTACATCGGGGTGAAGGCGGTGCAGCTGCTGCGGCAGGCCCTCGATCAGAAGGGGCACAGGGAGCCCATTTGCTTGATCTGCCTCACGAACCACGCCCTGGACCAGTTCTTGGAGGACTTGCTCGACTTGTTCCCGCAGAAGCTTATCCGCTTCGGCGGTCGTACACAATCGGAAAACGAGCGGCTGCTGGACTGCGTCGTGCACAAGCACATGCGTTCGACGAAGGAGGAGTACGAGGAGCGGGAGCAGCTTCAGCAGGAGCTGCAGCACCAGGTGCAGTCCATGGACAAGCTGCGGTTCTCGGTCAATGACCGCATGGGCCAGGTCCGGCTTCTTGTGGCAGCGATGCCTCGCGGCACACTCGGCTCCATGCTTGACGGACTGGGGGAGGACATTTTGGATGCCGGGCTTTTCCTGCCGTGGAGGGTTGGGGAAAGGCCGAACCCTACGAGGTTCGTCACTCATGTGTTGCTCTCCTGGGTGGACGGCAAGGGCCTCGATGAGGTGAAGGATGAGTTGAGCAGGCGGATCCCGTCCAACACGCAGCGATCGAGCATAACTATGTCAAACACCTTCGCTGCTCTGCAAGAGGAGGTTTTGGACGAGGAGTGGACACGCATTCTGAGCCACCTTGACCGATCGATCAATGATGCTCAAGATGGTGGTATCATTCCATGTGGCTTGCAGAATGAAGGGGTCGAGGACGAGGAATCTGACGACAGCTTCGAAGATCTCGACGGCGACGAGGTCGAAGCACTGATGGCGGATCGCGTCGCAGCCAGTGTCGAGATGGGCTATCGCGGCCGGGCGTCGTCTCGAATCGACCACGGAGTCGTCGAGAACGACGGCAGCCTCGCGGCTCGCACCAGGGCGTTCCAGCAGGCGAGCCAGTGGGAGGTGCTCGCGCAGCAGGCGCAGCGCAGACTCGAAGAGGCGGAGGCCCAGGCCGAGGAGGACGCGGCTGAGCGCAGGACGCCAGCGGCGCGCCAGGGGTCGAAAGATGCGAGGCGGCCTTCTAAGGAGACAGGGGGGGACGGCTGTCGGAAGCCTTCTCTCGCCTTCAGCAAGTCGTCTTCGAAGCTGCCGAGCCCTCCTGAGAAGTCTCCTGCCTTCTTGGAAAGCCGCCCCTGTCGGATAGAACCCGGAGGGTACCCCTGGGGCCTTCCCCTGGGGCCTACCCCTAGGGCCTACCCCTAGGGCCTACCTCTAGGGCCTACCCCTAGTGTCTACCCTCAGGGCCTACCCCTAGGGCCTACCCCCTGGGCCTACTACCTCTTGGGCCTACCCTTAGGCCTACCCTAGGCCTACCTCTGGGGCCTACTCCTAGGTCTACCGCAGGCCTATCCCCAGGCTCACCCCTAGGCCCTCCCTAGGCCTGCCGCCAGGGCCTGCCCCTAGGGCTACCCTGGGGTATACCTTTAGGGCATGCCCCTAGGCCTATCTCTAGGGCCTACCCAGGCCCTACCCCTAGGGCCCGCCCCCAGGCCCTACTCCTAGGCGTTCCCTAGGCGTACCCCTAATGCCTACCCCTAGGCCTACCCCAGGCCTACCCCCAAGGCCTACCCCGAGGGCCTACCCCGAGGCCTATCCCCCCTAGGGCCTACCCCCAGCGTTGGGGCGCTCGCGTGCCAGCCAGACGATGCAGCATACTTGACTCGATGTTTTGATGTCCTGCCCGCCCGGAATCGACCCGCTCGTGAGGGCCCGACCCGCTCGACCAGGCCTGGCCGTTGCGGCTCTCGCGTGCCAGCCGGACGATGCAGCATACTTGGCTCCATACTTTAGTGTCCCGCCCGCCACACCCGACTCGCCCGTGATATTGATTCCCTCTGCTGACCCCGAGGGAGAACTGGACCCCGCCCGCGCCGACCCGCTCCGATGGGACCCCGACCCGCCCGGGGCCCTGGGAGGCCCAGGGGCTCCTTGGGGGCCTGGGGATCCCGGAGGCCCCCTGGTGGCCCCGGGGGTGGGGGCCGACCGGGGCCCGCCTCGTCACCACGAATGGGCTCAGCTCTGGAAGCTGGTGCGGCTCGGCACTGGGCGGGGTCCGCGAGCTTGGAGTCGTCGTCGTCGTCGTCGTCGTCGTCGTCGTCGTCGTCGTCGTCGTCGTCGCTCTTCTCCAGTTCGGCCCGTCTGCGCGCCGGCCAGGCTTGGCCAGACCAGGCCACTGGGAGCAGGAGGCGGAGGAGGAGGAGGAGGAGAAGGAGGAGGAGGAGGAGGAGGAGGAGGAGGAGGAGGAGGAGGAGGAGGAGGAGGAGGAGAGAGGAGGAGGAGGAGGAGGAGGAGGAGGAGGAGGAGGAGGAGGAGGAGGAGGAGGAGGAAGGAGGAGGAGGAGGAGGAGGAGGAGGATGAGGAGGAGGAGGAGGAGGAGGAGGAGAGGAGGAGGAGGAGGAGGAGGAGGAGGAGGAGGAGGAGGGAGGAGGAGGAGGAGGAGGAGGAGGCGGAGGAGGAGGAGCAGGAGGAGAGAGGAGGGAGGAGGAGGAGGAGGAGGAGAGGAGGAAGAGGAGAGGAGGAGAGGAGGAGGAGGAGGAGGGAGGAGGAGGAGGGAGGAGGAGGAGGAGAGAGGAGGAGGAGGAGGAGGAGGAGGAGGGGGAGGAGGAGGAGGAGGAGGAGGAGAGGAGGAGGGAGGAGGAGGAGTGAGGAGGAGGAGGAGGAGGAGGAGGAGGAGGAGGAGGAGGAGGAGGAGAGAGGAGCGGAGGGAGGGAGGGAGGAGGAGGAGAAGGAGGAGGAGGAGAGAGGAAGAGGGGAGGAGGAGGGCGGAGGAGGAGGAGGAGGAGGAGGAGGAGGAGGAGGAGGAGGAGGAGGAGGAGGAGGAGGAGGCAGGAGGCCCGAGGGGCCCCGACCCGTTGTGGGGAGCTCGGGGGCGCCCAGTAGGGCCCGGGGGCCGTGGGCGCCTCCGGCGGGCTTCGGGTCGTCGTCGTCGTCGTCGTCGTCGTCGTCGTCGTCGTCGTCGTCGTCGTCGTCGTCGTCGTCGTCGTCGTCGACGGGTCTCTCGCGTTGGGGCTCTCGCCTGCCTCCAGGATGATGCAGCATACCCTGTACTTGAATGTCCCGCCTGCCCGTGAGGGCCGGCCCGCTCGGCCAGGCCCGGCCGTTGGGTCTCGCGTGTCAGCCGGACGATGCAGCACTTTTGACTCCATACTTTAATGTCCCGCCCGCCCGACCCGACCCGCCCGTGAGGTTGGGCCCGACCCGTCCAGGGGGCTTCGAACAAGGTAATCCCCAGCAGAAGGGTCAATCCCTGGCAGAGGGGCTCAATCACCAGAAGCCAATGTCAAGATTTTCAGGTTTGAAGCTAGGAACTGCTGTGGTGCGGGGGTTCGGCCGGCTTGGGCCCTCCCGACAGGCTTTTCAGCTCGACAGGCCTCTTGGGCTTCCCGACAGGCCTCTTGGGCCTCCCGACAAGCTTCTTGGGCCTTCCCGGCAGGCTTCTTGGGCTTTTCCGTCAGGCTTCTTGGACCTCCCCACAGGCCCTTAGGGCCTTCCGAGCGGCCTCTTGGGCTTCCCGATTGGCCCCATTGGGCCTTCCGAGCGGCCCCTTGGACCTCCTGACTGGCCTCTTAGCCCCCCCGACAGGCCTCTTAGGGCTCCCGACAAGCCTCTTGGGCCTCCCGACGAGCTTTTTGGGCCTGCCGACAGGCCCCTTGGGCCTCCCGACGGGCTTCTTGGGCCTCCCGACGGGCCTCTTAGCCCCTCCGACAGGCCTCTTGGGCCTTCCTTAAAGGCTTCTTGGGCCTCCCGACAAGCTTCGTGGGCCTCCCGAAAAGTCTCGCGGGCATCTTGACAGGCGTCTTGGGCCTCCCGACACTCCTTTTCGGTCTTTCTGGGAGGCCTCTTGGGCCTTCGATCGGTCTCTTGGGCCTTTCTGAAAGGCTTCGTGTGTCTTTCTGAAAGGCCTCTCGGGCCTTCCGACGCGCCTCTTGGGCATCCCGACAGGCTTCTTGGGCCTCCCGACTGGCCTTTTGGGTCTCCCGACAGGCCTCGTGGGCCTCTCCAAGAAGCCTCTTGGACCTTTCCGAGCGGCCTCTTGGGCATCCCGACAGGCCTCTTGGGCTTCCCGACTGGTGTTTTGACCTTTCTGGCAGGCGTCTTGGGCCTTTCGAGAGGCATCTTGAACCTCCCGACAAGCCTCGTGGGCCTCCCGACAGGCTTCTTTGCCCCCCCGACTGGCCTCTGGGGCCTTCCCGACAGGCTTCTCGGGATCAGCGGAAAGATGATCATGATGATTAGGATGATGATGATGACGTTGATGTTTGTGATGCTGATGCTGAACATGATGATGCTACTGATGACGATGATGCTGATGATGCTGATGATGATGAGGATTCTGATGATGGTGATGATGATGCTGATGTTGTTAATGATACTAATGTCGAGGATGCTGCTGGTTATGAAGATCATGATGTTGATGACTAACACAATTATGATGATGATTATGTTCAGAATGACGATGACGGCTGATGATGATGATGATGATGATGATGATGATGATGATGATGATGGCGATGCTGATCCTGGTGGCGACGATGATGATGACGCTGATGGTGATGGTGATTGTGATGGTGATGATGGTGATGATTGTTCTGATGCTGCTGATGATGGTGATGCTGATGACGTCGACGATTATGATGACGCCGACGCTGACACTAGCGCTGACGCTGATACTGATGCTGACGATGATGATGATGCTGATGACGATGACGATGACGACGATGATGATGATGACGATGATGCTGATGCTGACGCCGATGATGATGCTGACGCTGATGATGACGATGACGATACGAAGATGCTGCTGCTGATGATCATGTTGATGGTGATGACGATGACGATGATGGCGATGGTGATAATGGTGGTCCTGACGCTGATGCTGCTGCTGATGACGATGATGCTGATGATGATGATGTTGATTTTGATGCTGATGCTGATGCTTACGATGCTGATGCTGATGCTGATGATGTTGAGATTGATGCTGATGCTGATGCTGACGATGATGATGCTGATGCTGATGCTGCTGCTGATGATGCTGAGGATGATGGCTATAATGATAAAGATGATCATGGTGATGATGCTGATGATGCTGATGATGGCGATGCTGATGCTGATGCTGATGCTGATGATGCTGCTGATGGCGGTGGTGATGATGATGATGATGATGTTGATGATGATGATGATGATGATGGTGATGATGATGATGATGATGACTGTGCCGATGATGACCTTGCTGATAGTGGGGGCGGTCATGAGTATGGTGATGATGGTGAGGATGGGGATGATGACGGCGATAAAGGATGATGGTGACGATGATGATAGGAGGACGAGGATGAGGAGGAGGAGGAGGCGGAGTAGGTTGACGAGGATGAAGATAACGATGAGGATCAGGAGAAATAGGAGAATGAGCATGGGGAAAGATGCTGATGATTGAGCCAGGGGAGGATGAAGACGAGGGTACCGAAGATGTTAATGATGCTGGAGATGGCAATGGCGATGGAGACGGTGATGGTGACGACGAGTATGATGATGCTGCTGATGATGATGACGATGCTGACTATGATGATAATGGTGATGCTGATCGTGATGATGATGCTGCTGCTGATGATGATGCTGACAGTGATGATTGGTGATGTTGATGGCGCTGCTGATGCTGATGCTGATGATGACGACCATGATGATCATGATGATGGTGATGCTGGCGATGCTGATGATGTTGATGATGATGCTGATGATGCTGATGCTGATGCTGATGATGATGTTGTTGATGATGATTTTGATAAAGCTGATGATTATTATGGTGATGATACTGATGCTGATGATGTTGATTATGCTGATGATGAAGGTGATGCTGAGGATGGTTATGGGGA